AAACCTCTTGTCTTTATCTCCTGTGGGTGAGTGGGAAACCATCCTGCACTCCCACCAGGGTTAGTTATCTGGCTTCTGCTCTGTTGTTGAATCAAATTTCAGCCCCTCCAACTCATGCCAGGAACAATAATCCATGGTACAGTAAAGATAGAGTTCAGTATAAAAGCAATTTCTGAAGCAGTTGCCACATCTTAAAGAATACACATTCATTTCCAAAAGTCTAATCGCACATGAATGTTCCTTGGGGGCTTGATAGATTCACCTGGCTGCTGGAAGTGGGCAGTGTGACTACTGCTGGCATCAAATGGCTAAAATTTCTGGGCTGCTTAATATTCCCTGCACCAGTCTATGCATGTTGGGTGGCACTCTTTCCCCTCTCCCGACCAGAAGACAATCTTTGCTTCCCCAGCAGTTATTGTTCCTTCCATTCCTGCTGGAATGGAGACTGGAGCTGGAAAGGGAGACCAGCCAGAGCGTAAATGGCATTGACAAGCCCTATGCGGTGGTGATGTAGCCAAAGAACCTGAAGAAGAGCTCTGTGTAACCTCAAAAGCTTGTCTCTCTCACCAACAGAAGTTGGTCCAATAGAAGATATTACCTCACCCACCTTGTCCCTTGACAAACCTTGGCACTCTCTGTGTCAGCTGCCGCTGTTGGACAAACCCACAGAGGATTCAAGGCAAAAATGCCATCTTGAATTTTCATAAGTTAAGATGTTTTGATCAAAACTTCAGGTTGGAGTAACTTTAGTAACAAATTTGCAGAATGCCAGGAAAGGACTATTCTCTTTAGAGGTCTCCTTGGGCCTAAATTTAAAGCCTGTCATGAACCAACTACAGCAGAGCCAATCCGATTCGACCCAAGCCCATTGGGTTGTTTTCACACCTCACCCAACACTTTTGTAGTGTGGTTCGCATTGGGTTGCCAGGGTCTAGATGCTGGCCTGGACTCCATTTTCTTTACTTTGTTTCCTCCATGGAGCCACCGGGGCTATTTACTCCCTGGTCCTGCTGCCCTCTCTCGTGACCTGCTGCTCACCCCAGCTCTGCACCATGTACCTGAAGGACAGCTGGTTCCCCCTGCCCCGGGCCGTTCCCCCAACCTGTCTCAGCGCCACTGCCTCATCCGGAGGCTTGTCCGAGTGGGGGCTTCCCACTCCCAATGCCCACAATTTGTCTCCAGCCTCCTCCTACCTGTGGGGTCAGTGCCTTGGTGGCTGTATGGCCCACTCCTGCTGGCTCCTGCCCATGGGCGGCCGGTGATCTGGCTGTTGGGGGAGGCTAACTCCCAGCCCCACCCCTTGTGCCCGAAGCCCCTCCCCTCCCCCATCCCTTCTGGGGCAGCCAGCCCTGGTGTGGCAGCCAGCCCTGGTGTGCTGGTTGGTGCGGCTGCAGGGCCCCCAGCACCAGACGCCCCGAGTCCCGGCACGAGGCAGGCCAGCCAGCCTGAGAACAGAGTGCTGGGAACTGCAGAAGGGGGGCCTGGCCTGGGGGTGGAGTGTGGGCTGGGCCATGCTAGGCTGTTTGGGGAAGCACAGCCTCCCCAGCCTATGATACCTGCTGCCCATGCTGCTGTCACCACCTTGCTCTGCTGTGAGTGCTGCAGAGAGAGAGGTACTGTGACTGGGCATGCTTTTTGCGCAGTGTGTGCTGTACAGTGAGGTGGCAGCAGATGGCAGGGCTGGAGGATACATCTGCCGTCACACTAATCCAACGGGCAGGAGGAGGTGATCAGAGACTACCTAGTCCACCCCAAACCTAACACTTGTAGTCAGGTCCCATCAGGTTGCCAAGGTCTATTTCTCTTCCTCACTTGCTAAGGCACTTAGGATTCATATTGAACTTTGGAGCACAGCTTAGCTTTGGTTACCAAAATGCAGAGGCTGAGAGCTTGGGGATGGCAGAAGACAGAATTGAACAATAAGAGGGTAGAGCCCATAAACTCTGCTGCTTCTGAGACCAGTGCTGCTTTGACTGCAAAGAGCAGCCTAGCTTCTGTTCCTTCTGCAAGTATGTGGCAGATCAGATCATTACCAATTAAAACCTCTAATGAGCAAAAGTTCTATTTTAGGGTTTTGTATGGCCACCTTTATAACTGTAGTCTCTGAGTACTCCACCTTTTCAAGAGTGAAGCAGTTATAATCCATGACATTAAGAACCCCTAGTTCTTCTCTTGCCCCTTGTCCTTTTCATTTAAGGGGGAGGGATAGGTCAGTGGTTTGAGTATTGGCCTGCTAAACCCAGGGTTATGAGTTCAGTCCTTGAAACCCAGGGTTGTGAGTTCAGTCCTTGAGGGGGCCATTTAGAGATCTGGGGCAAAAAAAATTGGGGATTGGTCCTGCTTTGAGCAGGGGGTTGGACTAGATGATCTCCTGAGGTCCCTTCCAACCCTGAGATTCTATGATTCTATGAAATGGTAGGCCTGTTTCTAATGTTTTCTGAGTTGACACTTGAATCTGCCCACTGCTGCATTGGCAATCATTCATACTGTGTAGTGTATGAAAGGCTCTGTCACATAGGTTTTGTGAGGGCTGGGCACCAGTTGAACCGTGTAAAGGTGTTGTGTTGAGAGCCCAGGAAACTGAAGTAGATCAGCCGCAAAACTGGGATAGTAGCAGTACAGGCTTTTCACACCTTGTCCCACTAATCTGCTTCTCCTGGAAAGGAGTGATGGGAGCTGGACAGTAGCCCTCATGGCTTCTGAGTGCCAATAACTTGATTCTACTTGTAATATTAGCTTTTTCTGTGTCGACACTTTTCAATTGGGAACTGGACTGAGACAATCAATTAACGGGAATAAAAGAGACTTGGTGGGATAACTCACATGACTGGAGTACTGTCATGGATGGATATAAACTGTTCAGGAAGGACAGGCAGGGCAGAAAAGGTGGGGGAGTTGCATTGTATGTAAGAGAGCAGTATGACTGCTCAGAGCTCTGGTATGAAACTTCAGAAAAACCTGAGAGTCTCTGGATTAAGTTTAGACATGTGAGCAACAAGGGTGATGTCGTGGTGGGAGTCTGCTATAGACCACCAGACCAGGGGGATGAGGTGGATGAGGCTTTCCTCCGGCAACTCACAGAAGTTACTAGATCGCAGGCCTTGGTTCTCATGGGAGACTTCAATCACCCTGATATCTGCTGGGAGAGCAATACAGCGGTGCACAGGCAATCCAGGAAGTTTTTGGAACGTGTAGGGGACAATTGTCTGGTGCAAGTGCTGGAGGAACCAACTAGGGGCAGAGCTCTTCTTGACCTGCTGCTCACAAACCGAGAAGAATTAGTAGGGGAAGCAAAAGTGGATGGGAACCTGGGAGGCAGTGACCATGAGGTGGTCGAGTTCAGGATCCTGACAGAAGGAAGAAAGGAGAGCAGCAGCATACGGACCCTGGACTTCAGAAAAGCAGACTTTGACTCCCTCAGGGAACTGATGGACAGGATCCCTAGGGAGAATAATGTGAGGGGGAAAGGAGTCCAGGAGAGCTGGCTGTGTTTTAAAGAATCCTTATTGAGGTTGCAGGAACAAACCATCCCGATGTCTAGAAGGAATAGTAAATATGGCAGGCGACCAGCTTGGCTTAACAGTGAAATCCTTGCTGATCTTAAACACAAAAAAGAAGCTTACAAGAAGTGGAAGATTGGACAAATGACCAGGGAGGAGTATAAAATTATTGTTCAGGCATGCAGGAGTGAAATCAGGAAGGCCAAATCATACTTGGAGTTGCAGCTAGCAAGAGATGTTAAGAGTAACAAGAAGGGTTTCTTCAGGTATGTTAGCAACAAGAAGATAGCCAAGGAAAGTGTGGGCCCCTTACTGAATGAGGGAGGCAACCTAGTGACAGAGAATGTGGAAAAAGCTAATGTACTCAGTGCTTTTTTTGCCTGTGTCTTCACGAACAAGGGTCAGCTCCCAGACTGCTGCACTGGGAAGTACAGCATGGGGAGGAGGTGACCAGCCCTCTGTGGGGAAAGAAGTGTAGTGAAGCCCTTTGGTTCCTGGCGGTTTTTTCTTCTTGTACGGTGAACCACACCGACTCTCTGGAAAACTACAGGAGCAATTCAGGGTGACACCAACACAGTTGTCATGAGGGCATTTAAGGAAATTTTAGGCCAATAGGTGATCCTGTCCTGGGTCCATACTGACCTTGGGGTAGAGATGTGAGGGTGATTCGGAGATGACATTGGCCTCATACACATCCTTGATGAGACTTTTGGCACTCCTAGACTTCTCTGTGCTGAGTGCAACAGGAAAGTTGCCACGAATATCCAGGCTTTGTTCATGAAAGGAATGTAAAATAAGTAGGGTTTTTCCAATATAGGTATTGGGGAAGAGTCAATGGGTCACTAGGAGTACGAACCGACCTTGTTGGTCTCAGTCCCTAGTGCTAAAATGGGAGACTCGTAATCAAATCAGAGGAGGTGAGTTTGTGCAATAACTTCATAACTCCTCTGTTACTTGGAGGGGGTGATTCTTGTGGTATAAACATGAACTGAAACATTTCAGGTTTTACTCCTAGGATTGGGTGGCTCTGAAATGTACAGATGTGGAGTCTGTCTGGGAATGGAAAAGGGGAAAAAGAGATTCTTCTTCTTCCAGTATGGTCTTCCATAGTCTGATGATAAAATGATTTTATGTTCTGAAATGTGATGTTTTGTTTCCAGCATAATTATTTTGAGCACTGATTTGCTGAGTGCTGTACAAAACTTAGACCAAAGATACAGTCTTGTCCTGAGGAGCATCCAAGCAAAGTAAAATCTTCCCTCTCCACTGCACTATGGCTTTGGCTGATTACATGAAAGAGACTGTTGCAGGTTTCTAGATGGTGCTGTTGTAGCTTGTGCCTAGCTTGTCCTCTCCTTCCCAGTTTCTGGTGTTCTCTCTTGTGTCTACTTAAGTCAAGGAGAAGAGTAAAGGTATAAGGTTCCTGGGATAAAGGCTGTGATGAGATGGAGCTGCATATGCTGCAATTACCTATTTACACTCTCTCTCTCCCTCCCACAGGCACAATGGCTACAGTGACCCAGAAGCACTTCTTGGAAGGGCAGACTTACTCTGTCCCTCTGATCCAACCTGACTTGCGCAGGGAAGAGGCTGTTCATCAGGTTGCAGATGCACTTCAGTATTTGCAGAAAGTGTCTAGTGATATCTTCAGCAGGTATGTTGCTGTCACACAGGGAACTGGGACTGATGCTGAGTGCCAAGCAGGAGAAAACCAAATGCTGCAATAAGACTGTGGCAGTGAAGGGGCCTTGGAGAGCCACCAGAGTTCCAAAGGAGGTGGGGAGGGCCAGATGTACCCCCAGCAAAAATAGACTGAATTCAGGTTTGATCTGAGTGTGGTATGATTAAGGCTAAGATTGTGTCATGATATTTTTAGTAGGGCTGTCAAATTAACAAGTTAATTGCAGACCCTCTGGGTGTAAGGGGAGCATCAGCTGCTCCAAAAAACCTGTTTGGTCAGGCTCAGTAACACAAGTTGCCACCAGAGGGCGGGAAGAGACAAGGCTACAGAAAGTAATGTACTTCTCATCCCTGCATTTTTAAAGTAAAAACTAGGGCTGTCGATTAATCACAGTTAACTCACGCGATTAACTCAAAAAAATTAACTGCAATTTAAAAAATTAATTGTAATTAATCGCGCTGTTAAACAATAGAATACCAATTGAAATGTATTAAATATTTTTGGATGTTTTTCTACATTTTAAAATATATTGATTTCTATTACAACACAGAATACAAAGTGTTCAGGGCTCATTTTGTTGTTGTTTTTTATTACAGATATTTGCACTGTAAAAATGATAAAAGAAATAGTATTTTTCAGTTCACCTCATACAAGTACTGTAGTGCAATCTCTTTATCGTGAAAGTGTAACTTACAAATGTAGATTTTTGTTTGTTTGTTACATAACTGCACTCAAAAACAAAACAATGTAAAACTTTAGAGCCTACAAGTCCACTCAGTCCTACTTCTTGTTCAGCCAATTGCTAAGACAAACAAGTTTGTTTACGTTTATGGGAGATACTGCTGACTGCTTCTTATTTGCAATGTCACCTGAAAGTGAGAACAGGTCTTCGCATAACACTTATGTACCTGGCGTTGCAGGGTATTTACATGCCAGATATACTAATCATTCATATGCCCCTTCATGCTTCAACCACCATTCCAGAGGACATGCTTCCATGCTGATGATGCTTGTTAAAAAAAATAATATGTTAATTAAATCTGTGATTGAACTCCTTGAGGGAGAATTATTTCTCTCCTGTTCTGGTTTACCCGCATTCTGCCATATATTTCATGTTATAGCAGTCTCGGATGATGACCCAGAACATACTCATTTTAAGAACGCTTTCACTGCAGATTTGACAAAACACAAAGAAGGTACCAATGTGAGATTTCTAAGGACAGATACAGTACTCGACCCAAGGTTTAAGAATCTGAAGTGCCTTCCAAAATCTGAATGATGAGGTGTGGAGAATGCTTTCAGAAGTCTTAAAAGAGCAACACTCCGATGCGGAAACTACAGAATCCGAATCACAGAAAAGGAAAAACAACCTTCTGCTGGTGGCATCTGACTCAGATGATGAAAATGGGCCACTGTGCCTTGAATCATTATCAAGCAGAACCCGTCATCAGCATGAACGCATGCTGAGCCCCCTCTCCCCGAGCCCTGTGCTGGCTGCAGCTGGGGCTGACCCCCCCCGCCCCCCAAACACACACACACCCGAGCCCCGTGCCTCCTGAGGTTGGGGCTGACCCCACCCAAACCCGAGCTCCATGCCGCCCAGGGCTGGGACTGACCCCCATCCCGACCTATGGGGCTGATCCCTCCCCCACCCCCAAGCTCCATATCTCCCCCACCCCAAAGCTCCACATCTCCCCTGGCTGAGGCTGATTCCCCCCTCCCCAGCCCCCCATGCCTCTCCTGTCTGAGGCTCTAAAGTTTTACATTGTTTTATTGTTAAGTGCAGTTATTTTTTTTTAAATCACTTGACAGCCCTAATTTTTAGTAATAGTCATGTACAGGTCATGGGCAAAAAAAAAAAAAAATAATTCATGGAAGCCATGACCTGCCCCTGGCTTTTACTGAAAATATTGGTGACAAAATTGGGATCTGTGGGTCCTTACACGGCCTGAGGCGGGCAACTGCACAGGGACTAGGAGCTGCCTGCAGCACCTGGGAGCTCCGGTGTACCCCTGCCACCTGCACCTCCGAAGACGTGGGGCCGGGAGCTGCGGGGTATCCCCGCCTCTGGCACCCACGGTGCCCAGGAGTGCGGGGGGGTTCCCCACGGTGGTCGGGAGCTCCGGGGCCCCACTGCCACAGGCGGCTTGGAGCTCTGGGAGCCGCTCCTTGCCAACCACCGCGTGGCAGGGGACACTGCAGCTCCTGACCACCACCGCAAGCTGAAGTCATGGAGGTCGCTGATTCTGTGACTTCTGCAACCTCCATGACTAAATCGTAGCCTTAAGTATGATCAAAGAGTTGCCTGTGCTGAGTTTGCTTTTAGCCTGCAGCAATTTGATAGTGTTTGTTTTTAACTTCATGGCAGGCTGCCACATACTGCAGTCCTATTTCTGCCCCAGTTCTGCTCAGTTTCTTCTTTTTTGCTTTTAAATGGGAAATCTTACGATTTATGATAACTTGCGGTGTCTTTTTCTTGTTCTTTGTTGTTTGAGCACTGCAGTAGAAGATGTCTTTTGGTTTTGATCTCTGCTCTGCCATGTTGTTGCAGTATGATTCCTCCCTAAGTTTCTAGTATCTTGCACCTGCAAGTGAGTACATTGTGAGAGCTGAGACTGTATTTGAGTGTCTGCCTGTGTTCTGTGTGTTTCACGATGGTTTCGTGAGCGGCCAGAATGAAGATCATGTCTAGAAATTCAACTTGTGCGTTGTGTCTTACCAGGATGTTGTGAACTTTAAGGTTGGGCCTAGTGTCTCTAGCATTACTTGGTTTTGAATGAGTAGTTTGTGTGCTTTCATCAAATGACTAATTTTGGTCTTTAACTGCTCTTTGAAATGGTATCAGCAGTTCAGTATCTTCCTTATATATTGCTCAGCAAAGGCAGTTGCCTTTGTTCTGCTCTGCAGCTGTTGTTGGACGAGTTCCTCTGTCCGCCTAGTTCATTTGCAGGATTTACTGTAGAGGAATTCAATGTACTTTGCTGTTAAGTCCTAGTCTTTGGTCCCAGATGAGTTGAATTATTCTGTCAAATAGTTCTTGCAGTGGCTTTAGTGAGGTTGTATTTGCCTAGTATATTTTTTTATGGTTTAGATAGATTTCCACAGTCCTTTCTCAGATTGGATTTTACAGCCAGCCTGAAACTCTTCTGGTTTATTGTGAGGTCTAGGCATGTCCAATTCAGGTTGTGGGATCTCTCTAAATCCATAAATTTGGCTTTGCTTTTTTTCCCCTGGCAGACCATGGTTTCAGTGTTTCCTAGGACATGTTTGGCCTCGGTGCTAATAGCATGTCTTTAGCTGGTGTAGATTCCTCTTGAGAGGGTGATAGTATGTTTAGGTTATTAACATGAAATGTCTGCTGTCCTATGCAATTGTGTCGTAAGAGTCCTGGGTGCAGGGATTGCTCCAGTCGAGCAATTGAATCACTGACATGTAGGCTGGAATGGATAGACCTGAGGCTTTGTTCTCTCTTATTCCTTGCATTGTGGGAGCACTGTGGGGTTGGGGAGGTTAGAGGGACCCCTGGAGGGGCCAGAGACATGCAGAGGGGAGGTTTTATGGGAGCCCCGGTGGATGGGGTCCCTGTCTGAAATCCTTATTCTGTGCATGAATAAAGCTATCAGTTAACAGGAGCTGTTCTTTCATTTCTGTACTTGCTGCTTTGTGAGGCAATGCGCTGTAATTTCCCTGGGGATGAGAGCCTGCTCCTTAGCATGCAAGTCACTCGCAAGTCCTGAACACTGACTGTGACACTGCTCCCTCACTCTTCAGTGCGCTCATGACTTCTAATTACTAATTTTTTCCAACAGCACAGGAGACTTCATTGGGCCCTTTGTTTGCTTTGCCTTTCTTCTGAGGTCTCTGCTCTCCAATATAATTAATAATGATTTAGTAATTATGCAGGCGTCTGATTAAAAGTTCCCCAACCTTGGGTGTTCTGTGCCAATCAAGAGAGAGGCTTTCAAGGTGAGAACTTTGCTACTTAGCAAAAGTGGCCTCTTCTCTTCCCTGAGATAAGGCAGCTATATCTCCTATTTCCAGGAAGGAGCAGCCTTATCAGGAGGAAGCTGCCTGTTCTGAACTGCAAATCACCAGCTCACTGTGTTGAGGGGAGAGAAACTTGTGCAGTATAGCAGGTTCAGCTGAGTGTGTCGAGCTCCTTGCGTTTGTGCTGTGAGAGAGACAGAAGTTTTGATGCTATGTTGTAGCAGCAGATTGCTTGGTACTGCACTTCCAGGAGTGGCAAGGGAATCTGTATAACTGCCTGAGGTGGAGTGGAAGAAGGTCTGATTTTTTCTCCACCCCTATCCTTGTTATGTGCTCTAATGTCTGCTTTGAATTTTAACTGGATGATGATGTGAATGCCAGATAAATCAGATTTCTTCTTGTTAAAACAATCTACCTGAGGAATGAGAGAAGTGATCTTCCTCCTGAGGACACTTACGCTCTCCACCCTCGGGAACATGTTGCCGATGCTATAGAAAGGGCACCAGTGATGTGATGAGGGCTGTCATGGACTGTCTAGGTCTCACATAACCCTCGGAGAGGGGCAGAGGAGGGGCATATGCTGGGTAGGTTAATGGCAGCCCAGGGGCTGCCACAGTGAAGAAGAAGACACGTGGAGTTAGCTGCCTGGAAAAGGGCACAAAAGACATCTTTGCTTTTGGGAAGAGGGAGAAAGGAAAGGAGAAACTTCTTGCAGCTTGGGAAGGTTTAGGAACCACCACATGTAACAAGTGCAGAAAATCTGTGCCCATTCTCTCCTTTGCAAATGTTCTGTCCTTGGCTTTGGCTCTGGTAAATTACTTGGTGGTGAAAGGAGCATTTCTCATGGTTGACTAATCTGTGAAGAGCCAAAGGGATATGGGGGTGGGGTTATCTGTGGTCAAGACATGTAGTTCTCCCATTCACAGATAACAGCCAGAAGAATTTTAAGGTTAGTTTAATGCTAGTGAAAGGTGTTTGACAGCCCT